TTATATGTAATAATTACTTATAAATAAAATATCACTTATAAGTAAAAAAAATCATACAAAATTTTTTAAATTGAAAATTTCACGAAGTAAAATAAATTGAATGTCATCTTAAGAAGTATTTAGCAGAAAGAACTTAAATGTACATACTCAGGGAAATTAGCTTCACGACTATATTCGTTTTTCTCCATCTTATAATCTAATAGAAAATGATTAGCATGCTAGAGTTTATTCAAAGTAACAATAATTGTCCAAATATTAGTCCATACACAATAGAAAATGATTGAGAAAACCATGCAAAGTCATATTTAATTGTAAGGATTGACATACACCATTATTCCATATTATTTATACACACTTACTTTTATATATATATTCGGATATGTAATTTTATTATTTTAAAAAACTTTCAAAAGTATTGGATAATAAACTCAAACATGGATTGAAATGTTTTAAAAATCGCAACTAAAAAAAAAAAATCGAAATTGGCCCCCTCATAAATGTTTAAAGTCGATACTCTAGAAAAACTATAACCGATACCTAAAACTCCCAAATAGGCCCTAAATAGTCATTTAAAAACAAGAATAATGTTATGTGTACACAAACTTTCACACAATCTTTTACACCCCCCTCACATGGAGGGAGGTCCACACATAATAAAATAATCGTGAGCCCCCCTTCATGTGAGGGGGGTGTAAAAGATTGTGTGAAAGTTTGTGGGTACATGTAGCATCACCCTAAAAACAATTTGTTGAAAAATGTAGCAAGCATGGCCTAAGGGCATCTCTAATTGTGCACTAAAATTCACTACAACAAAATGCACTTTTTACGGCATGCAATGTCGTAAAAACCTCTTTACAGCGTGCGGCCACACGCCATATAAAGCCATGCCGTAAAAAGTGGTATACCTTTTACGGTGTGCAAAATACGCCGTTTAGAGAACGCCATAAATGGCTTTAACGGCGTGCAGCTGCACGCCGTAAAAAGTATCTCACTTTTTAGGCGTGCTAAAATGCAAGCCGTAAATGCTTTTTACAGCGTGCATTTGTATGCCGTAAAAGATGATGTCTAGCTTTTTACAGCGTGCGAGTGCATGCCGTGAAAGATATGTTCAGCTTTCTGCACCCCGTAAATGTCAATTTTGTTTTTTTTAAATGTTTATTTATTTAATTACCAACAAACTTGTAATAATTCAATAACAAAATTAATATATCAACACATGTAATCTGTTTTATAATTTCAATAAATAAAAATATTGAGTTCAATCCAATACAATATGCTAAAATGAAGAGTTGATCTAAATAATTACTAAGAAAATCAGGAATCCAGAAACTATCAAAGCATATTTTACAAGTCTGGTAACAATTTGCTCTGTTCCTAAGATTTTCCTTGTATTCTTCAACATGCACATGTTGCCTTTCACCAGTTCTCCCCAATAGAGCCGGGTCATTAGCCCCAAAAAATATAGTGGTAGCGACCGGAGGCGTTGCAGATCCCTGCCAATCAATCAGAAAAGATCCCTACATTGAGATCAAAAATTGAAATGAAGTATAGGAAACTGAACCAACATTAAACTTGGGTTAAAGTCTCCATTAACAAAAAGAAAGGTTTCTAAAAGGTATTTACTTATCACTACACCCTCACGCTGAGGTGCATAGAATCAGGAAAGTAAAAAACGAAAACGCTAAGGAACAAAACAAAGATGATACAGAAATAAAATTAACTTCATTGTGCAAAATTCAACAAGAATAAAGCAAAAAAAATAAAGATCTGGACAAATTACCATAGGGAAAAGGTGATTCAACAAAAATAAAGCCCACTTGGTGTTGTACCCACCATAACCACGTACAACAACATAAGCCTACAACATCGAACAGGTAAATTATGCATATCAAAGTGAATAAAAAATCAACTGATTTGAAATATATAGTTAAAAAAAATTAATTAATTGAAAAATGAAACCTTGCGAGAGTAAGTATCAGCAAGAGCAGCACCCCAACACCTAATCTGAAAGATTGCTCTATAATTGAGTCCCCAAACAACACTATTTGAGAACGCCATAAAACTCATTTACGGCATGCATTTTAGCAACTGAAAAAAGAAGTGAAGCTAGACATGTCACCTTCCAAAACTTTATGGTTTTGTCGTTAATGGACAGAAGAAAAAGCACACCATTAGCTGCCTGGCACCACTCAGTTAAAGCCTTGTTAGACAGACATAAGAAAAATGGTAAGAATGCTATCAAATTAATTATCTCCAGAGATGAGCGTATAATGAAAAACACCAACTTCGTCTTGGAAGAGAAATAGTGTACAGTACTAATATTTGGAGTTATTCCATTGTCAGTCATCGTTTGAGGGACAAGTGACTGTTGACTATTTCAAAAATTTCAAGTTCTACTGAAGTTTGAATGACCAACATCAATTAAGATGGTCACAGGGAGGATAGGCAATTTTTTAAAACCCCTGAATTTCAATAACTTTTAAGCCATTTCAACAAACCAGAAGACTTATAATAGATGCTACTATGTCATATTTGTATTCAAATTCACATTGTCTTAAGCAGAACCACTCGATCTTAAGTCCACCCTTTGTGTAAAGCAATCTTCCTAAATTACCACTGAATATGAATTGAGGATAAAAGACTATGGAATAGTAATCACAATATAGGGGCATCTGTTAAGGCAATTAAAATTTGTGCAACCAGAATACTACAAAGAAAACTAACTTATTGGGAAATCACCTTATAGCTTTTGTATTGATGACACAAACTGAAGTAAATGGGGCCAGTAAGCCCTTCTAATACATGTGTACATATTCCAGCATCTTCCCATATACTAAGAGGTATCAACCAAATATAATTGCAACGTCAAATTCCCAATTATAAATAATTACATAGAAAATAACAATGATTTATCGATTGACATATATATAGTGTTACCTTCCCAAACCATCATAGCATCCAGTCAAAATGTACCTGTCACAGAAAATACAGAGAGGTTCACCACATTGCTGATGTTCAATAGTACTATGAAAAAAGCAACAAACACCGCTTCTTACACACACTTACAGCAGAAATGCCTTCTGAAAGAAGAAAATCTTCAAGCAACATTTGAAGAAATTTTCCATCGATTAGGAAATCGAAAGGCTGGTACTACCAATCATTAACTCCTGTACCTCAATGGAATAAAAATCAGAAACAAAATCAATATAATTTAGGTGCTTCAAGTCTGGTAACGAAAAGCAAGCAAAATCAATTCACCCTCTCAAATCTACCTTCCCAATCCTCCGACCACCGCCGCAGAAACCCATTACCACCACAATAAACTGCTCCTACACCCCAACCCCTGCCATCGACAGCTTAATCTCTGCCGTATCCTACTTCCTCCCCTTCTTCAACGGCCTCCAATATGGTCGCTTCCTCTTCACCAAATATCCACTGAATTCCCTTCCAACCCCTCCATATGGAGTCTTCCCAAGAACACTACTCACAATCCCATAAACAAAACACGCCACCACAAATGTAAAAATCCCGAAATGTGCCCACACCGTTTATCTTCTGCCCGATTGCACTTCAATCCGGAGAAATTATCCTCTGTACAAGCATCGACACCACAAGCAGTACGTCGAGCACCAATGCCTGAAGGGCGTTGAACCGCGCGTAGTGGCTCAGCGAAGGATTTCGGACGATGCCCAGATAAAGGGCGAAGAAAGAGATGAAGTTGGCATAGGGGATGGAGTGGTAGAGAGATAGGAGAGGGAGGAGGGGCTGGAAGGGAATTGATAGAGAGAGGCGGATAAGAGGGAGTGAGGCCATATTCGGCAGCGGTAGGTTGGGGAATTAGGGACGCTTTGTACTGTGGAGGAGTTGGGTTGGGGGGAAATGAAATGGGTTTTAATTTTGCCAATTTTCAACTTTCTGCATTTTTTACGGCGTGCGTGTTTGCACGCCGCAAATAATAGGACCAAACAAATGGTTTTTTACGGCGTGTACAGATGCATGCCGTAAATAATAAGACCAAACGATTTTTTATGGCGTGTAAACATGCACGTCGTAAATAATTTCTTTGCATTTTTAATATGAATAAACGGTTTTTTACGGCATGCAAAGAATGTACGCCGTAAATACTTTATGTAATTGATCATTTACGGCATGTATTTTTTGCACGCCGTAAAAAGTCTCTTTTTACGACATGCGTCAATTGCACGCCGTAAACATAAGCCGTAAAAAGCTATATTTGTTGTAGTGATTGGTATAAAAACACCACTTTAGTGCAAAAATCCCCTCCGTTGTAGACTAAAACACTACATCAATTTGATACAATGAATTACACCAAATATTGTGTAGCACACTATTCATTTGGTGTAATTTTCAAAGTTTTTCATTATTCATATTTTGCCCTTCATTTCAATAAATTTTAATTCCTATGATATCCTTTTAATGATTTAATTTAATTTATATTGTTTTACTTTGATTTTTTATTTTTAATTAGCACATATTTATAAATTTTAATCAACTATTAAATAATAACTATTGATTACATTAAATAAAATTACTCATTATAATAATAACTGTTGTGGGATGAATATACTAGTTCCGAATATTAAATGACAAAATTAGTTGTGATTATTATTAGATGTACTTTTTTGTGCATCAGATTTAATTTTTTAATTGTGATATTAAGTGTAATATTTTTTTTAAAAAAATTATTAATAAATGTAATATTTTAATGTATTAAATATAATTTTTTATTTAATAATTTTAGTAATAATATAATTTATTAATTGTTGAGAAATAAAAAGTAAGAAAATAAAGGAAAGTGGTTTGTAAAATGCACTAATTATGTGCAACTGATGTTGGAGATGGCTTAAACGATTTGTTTAATCAAATATAAAATGACAGAATTTTAAACAAAGATTCCCCTGAGTATCTGAAATAAAATCCCAGGCGAAAATCCAAAACCTGTAAAATTCCTCCCCAAGGAGAAAATCTGAAGCTCTGTGATGTCGCAGGCTCGAATCTACGCTGATGTTAACGTCCGCCGCCCTCGAGATTACTGGGATTACGAATCTTTCACCGTTCAATGGGGGTATAATTCCTAAAAAGCCCTAGTTCAGGGCGGTTTAACGTTTATTTGCCTATTTTTCTATTTTAAGAACGTAATCTTGTAATTTGAAATCGATTTAGAGTTAAATTGTTATGTGGGGATATTTTGTATGCATTTGCTCTCGATTATATTTTAATTATGATGATTTAAAATTTTAATCGTTCAGTTTTGTATGTATATAGCATAATTGCTTTATGTAGGTATTAATTGAGGGAAAAGAAGTTGTGGGAAGACGATTTTCTATTGTTAATCTTTAGTAGAACGAGGTTCTGTTCAAGAATATAAAAAAACAGAATGGAATTATGAGGTGGAACTATGGCAATTTAGGAATGTCTGAACAGTGTTTCGTTTGAGCTCTTACATGCTTGACCTGCCATATAAATGGGATTTTTAACACTTTCAAGCAAGTTAGATGTGAAGAACACTACTAACAGTAGGCCTTTTATTTCTTTTCATTAGAGTATTTGGGTTTACTATTTTGAAATGTCGGAATCCTTGTTTTTCTGTAGATTATCTTTGGCAAAGTGAAATATATTGTCAATTCCTGGCTGATGATTTTAGATGCATGGCTAAACCATTGTCTTGAGGAGCGGAAATGATTTGGTTTCTTTTGTTAGATTAGCTTTACTTTAGGCTGGACATTGAATTGTGCCATTGGGCACCATCCCTCCATAGTGGCTTTTGGGAATGGATTTTACCAAGAATATCTTGTTATTAGCTGCTTTCTCTTCTTATCTCATCATTATGACAAGTACTCTACAACATATCTAGAAACAGGTTTATTGATTTCAACTCCCAAACATAAAGAAGTCCTTGGAATAAAATGTTGTGATGCTGCAGTAGCTTCGAATAACTTTTTCGGGTCCTTTAAAAGCAATGTTGTTGATGTAATTTGCTATTAGATGTATAATTTTACTCTCAGAAAGTATTAAGTTTGTAAAGTTGCTATCTGAAAGGGAATATGAATGTTGTAAAGGTGAGTGTGTATGTGTTGACAGATGAAGTTGATAGATCAAAGTAAGTAAAGGGGAACAGAGTAGGAGAGAATATAATTGCTTAAAGTGTTACAACCATTGATTACCGAGATCCAAGTCGATCATATCTGTGTTGGAAACGAACAGTGTAGAAATGATGCTGTACTAATACATAAATATCTATATTTCATATTGGCTATTGCCACTACATGTCTATTATATTAGACACCTTTTAGTTTTATAACATGTTCGATGGTTTTGAGGTGCACTAAACATGCTCATTTCCTTGTTTCAGTGACCAAGAAGATTATGAGGTTGTTAGGAAAGTGGGAAGGGGAAAGTACAGCGAGGTTTTTGAAGGCATAAATATCACGAACAATGAAAAGTGCATCATCAAAATTCTCAAGCCGGTCAAAAAGAAGAAGGTAACTTTCATAATTTATCTGGAATAAGTGTTGCGTGTTACATGATTCTTACAGCAATTTAAATTTGGACTATGATGCATGGGAAGTGACATGTTTAGATATCTCCATTAGTCTAAGGATCTCTTAAGTAATCTTTCACATGTATTAAAGTTTATCAAGATCTTATACTGGTTAATCTTAATGTATGTGTATTCTGCAGACTTCTATATCTCAGTTTCTGAGTTCATGTTTTAATTTCTTTTCAATAGTTCTCCGATAGAAGGGTTGCTGAATTTTTTATCGTTTCTTTCTTGTTTAAACTGATAATGCACTCCTTGTGTATTATCTTCTGATTTTATTTATAAAATTGCGTGATTACCTAGCAAAAAAAAAATTTCTTTTCAATAGTTCAAAGCGAAGTGCTTAAAGAAACACTCTCTAATTAAAAAATTAAGATCTTATAGAAGCTAATATGATCCTCCGTGGGGGTAAATTTGTCTATTTCTCGTGATCATACTAGTGACTACCGCCAAAATTTATTGACTTGATGTAGAAGTAGTTCATTCTGTATGTTTCATTTTGATTTTATTTGATACAACTAGCTCTCTTCTGTAATTATAATGCATTACTGCTCTTAGTTAATCCGTGTCAAGTAACAATTTTCATTTCAGGGATTTGTTGTGGTTTATTATTGATGCTTCTCCAAAACCTTATCCCCTAATAGCTACTAAATATGATGTCCTAGTTGATACCTTCACATATCAAATGCATCTTCTTAGAAAATGTTTATTGTCTGTATAGATTACTAATACTGTTTCTAATTTGTGCAGATAAAGAGGGAGATTAAGATACTTCAGAATCTTTGTGGAGGTCCAAACATTGTGAAATTGCTCGATATAGTCCGAGATCAGCACTCCAAAACCCCCAGTTTAATTTTTGAGTATGTTAACAGTACAGATTTTAAAGTCTTGTACCCGACGCTGACAGATTATGACATACGCTACTACGTATATGAGCTTCTGAAGGTTTAGTCTTATAGCTTCTATTGATTCCTGAATTTTTCTATTGCTTCTATTTGTCGGTTCTTTTCTTGTTGTTTTTGTTTCTTTTAATGCTTGGTTATGTCAGCTTTATGGGATTCTGTACTTTTATGCAATTTTTTTGAATTGGAAAGATTTGTAATAGAAGTTTTTGCCGCCACTGTTGTTTGTCGATGTACCATATTGATATGGGAAGAGGAGAAACGATTAAAACTACATATTGGCCTTGTCTCTGTAGCACAGACACTTCAACGAGCGTAGTGTGTCCGTGTTGGACAAGTGATAGATACCGATACTCTTCGAACACTCTGACGTGGTCATTTTTTCTTTATCAGAAATATTATATATTTTTAACTCAAATTTATTATTAAATAACAAATATGTACTCATATTTAAATGGTTTTTACAAGAAAAATTAATAACAAATATAAAATTAAATTTATACTATATAAATAAAGAATTTTAAAGAAACGTGTTGATGACGTGTGGTGTTAGTAGTTTTTTGAAAAATCGTGTATCGGCGTGTCCGACGTGTGTCTGTGTTGGTGCTTCATAGGGCCTTGTATACTATCCATTTTTCTATTTTATTAATTCCTCTGTTTTCCCATCAACTTGAAGTCTTCTCTTTCATTCTTCTTCTTATGATGATAAGATTAGGATATTGTATCCTGAGTTCCCATTATTTGGATACACACGAATCCAAAAGGCATGTATTCTCTGTAATTATTGAGTGACTCTTGAAACTAGTTTAAGTGGTCCTGCAAGATTGAATCATTCTTGCTTATGTTCAGGCTTTCTTATATATACTTAAATTGTTTGTAAACTTCGAAATGGAATGGCAAAATCCTTGGACACTTGGACTTGGAGCAAGAGTATTAATAGGTTTATCTATAGCATGCATTTAGGATTATTCTATTTCTATTCAATCAATCAAAATAGTAAAGGAACAGAACTATATAATCCATTAACGTGTTAAATTATATCTTTAAAGCTTTAAATACTTTTTACAAGGTTTTCATTGTTCTGTTGCATTACTCTAGCTTATGAAGTTTTGTGCTTATATGAAAAGCCATTTAAAAATAGGCTAATGTTATAACTGCACAACAAATGAAACAGGGAAAAGCTGTGGTAATTGCTTGTTCCTAATTTTTACAAGACAGGTGGTGTCTACCTCAACTACAACACTAAGAGTAATTTGTGGTTGCATTAGCTATAGCATATTTGGCTATATCTTAATTCTGCACAATTTAAGCAACTATTGGTACCAGTTCACAATGTTGGTGTCCATGGTCAGTATATGATCCACATTAGTTTCACCAGAGTTTTCCTCGTTTGAATGTATAAGAATGTACATTAAAGTGTCACCCAAGGTACTTGCTGTGGCGTCTGGGTGTTGAAGGTTGAGTTTTTTGAGACTTACATGAATTTAATAACTAATATGAGCAGGCATCAACATTGAGCTGATTTTTCAAAAGTATTCTGGAATCGTTAATAATTGAATAGTATTTATTTCCAAATTTTTTGATGTTTCTTGATTGTTGGCTTGTTACCAAAATCTTTGAGGTGTCTAATGCATGATTGCATGCTTGATTGATCAACCACGTTCTAAAACTGCAGGCATTAGATTATTGCCATTCTCAGGGGATAATGCATAGAGATGTCAAACCTCACAATGTTATGATTGATCATGAGCTGCGAAAACTTCGGCTCATTGATTGGGGCCTTGCTGAATTCTATCATCCCAACAAAGAATACAATGTCCGAGTGGCTTCAAGGTCTGTTTGATTGACTAATATTTTGTTCTATATGCTCATAATGCTTTCCTTGATGCCTATGCTTGCATTTTAGTATTTTACTTTGCTGCATATGATAAAGAGTCAAAAAGGTTTCTATTTTCAATTTACTACTATTGACTTTTTGTCTTTTGAATTATTGTTTAGATACTTTAAGGGGCCTGAGCTGCTTGTGGACTTGCAAGACTATGATTATTCTCTAGACATGTGGAGCCTGGGTTGTATGTTTGCTGGAATGGTGAGAAATTTTCTTCTAAAATTTCATGTTGTTAATGTTATGCTATTTAATTTCTCATTTTCTTTAACATGCAGATTTTCCGGAAGGAGCCTTTCTTCTATGGCCATGACAATCAAGATCAGCTTGTCAAAATAGCTAAGGTATTTAAATTCTTGTATCAGCTGTTTTCGCTGACAATTGAATTAGATTCTCTGTCCCGATGAAGTTTGCAATTGGTTCCTTGGAATAATCTATGATGCTATAATTTTTCACTTTCTCACCCATTGTTACAAGTGACTGCCTGGAGAAACGTCATTTGAAAAAGCTCCCTAAGCTTATTTTCTGTTGGATGATTTTGAGTAATTCTGGATTTGAAATCCTTAGTCAAGTCCCTGCATCATTATACAGTTGTTTATGATGGATTGAGATACCTCTGAAGTCATTCGAGATCATCTTCATCCTTACCTAACTTCTAATTGTTTCGAAACTCTGGAAATTAACGTCTTTTAAAAGAAATGAATTTGGAATCAGTCCAACCTCTGTTATCCTCAACTTCATATCTATTGATATAAATGCAACCTGAGGGAATTAGCTTTTCATTCATTTTAAGGTTATGTAAAAAGGATCAAGACTCAAAGTGGATAGATGAAGCTGTTTAATGTTTTATCAATGCCTGTGCTGTACTTGAATTTGCATGTTTGGATAAAATTTTTATGCTGGACAAGGTATCAATACATTGAGGTGCTTTCCAGGCCTACTAGTACTGTTTGATAGTATATCAAAGTTCGCCTTTGTGATTGAGTGGGTTCTGCTACTCTTTTATTCATATCAAATTGAATGTGTATCGGAAAGCTTAATTGGCTCTTTTCATTTGATAGAGTTTAGCAGGAATATGGTAAATCTTGGTTATGTATGAATGAACTTTTCCTTTCTCTGTATTTGCCTTCCATCCATCAACGCTCCTGGATTGCATGCTTTTTTCTTTTCTGTTTATGATGCCACTGGGCGAGAACAATAGATTAGTAATTCATTTTTGGTTATTATCTTGTTTCTACTTATGATTGCTTGTTTAAGGGAGGGCAATATTTATTACCACTAGGGGATAATTCGCTGAGCTACTCTCATGCTTTGTCGTTTATGTGTTCACTTCCCCTTGCCTGCTCTTTATAATTTAGAGTTGCGCAATATGCAATTATGCACTCACATCATTTAAAAATTAAGATATGTGGATACTGTTAAAAAGGATCCGAATTTTGGATATGAGTACGGGGATACATCTTACAAAATAATTTTTTTCTCTTAAAAAAATATCAGAATTACGCCAAAATAACAAAAAGAAAAATGGTTCAATTAAAGCAAATAACCACAATATTAAAGCAAAATAGCAAATTACCGCAATAAAAACGTTGCATCAAATGATAAAATCCAAATTCAAACAAAACAAACAAAACACAATTCAAAATAAAGTTAAAAATCGAAAATGTCATTTAAAAAAAAAATGTTCTCCACTTAAAAAATCAAACTAAAATGCATTCCCAATCAAGCTGTAATCTTCTTCCTTATCAAATGTAATTGCCTCCAATTCTTGTTCATCAAGGGATGGTTCCACCATCTTAATGCTACTTGTTCATCCAATTCAATTTGATTCCTGCCTACAAAAAAATATAGATATATAATGGAATAAAATTAGATTTCTAAAAAAGAAACAAAGACTTTAAGAATATGTATACATACACAAATCCCAATATTTTGGTGGCCCATTTTTGTGCTCTTTTGTGACGAGCCGAAGATTGCAATGAACAAATACCAAGTCTTTTGCCCTACTTGTCACCAATTTGTTTATCTTGATACTCTAGATGAGTGAATATGTACTCCAATTTTGCTCACAACAAGAAGAGGATGCCTGTTACGAGAGCAATTTAAATGACAAATTCGATTTTGGTGAATAATCTTACGTGTTTATTCCCCTTCTTTATATAGTATTACAAACAATTTAAGGATACAAACTATATATGGAAACTAGCTAATATGTACAAGGAAACTACCTAATTAACCAAATTAGCTGTAAGTAAATAATAATAGACTATTGATACCTCCCCCCCCCCCCCCCCCCCCCCCCCCCCCCCCCCCCCCCCCCCCCCCCCCCCCCCCCCCCCCCCCCCCCCCCCCCCCCCCCCCCCCCCCCCCCCCCNACGGTGCCGAGTCAGGGATTTGGTGAATATTTCTGCGGCTTGATGAGTAGTGGAAACATGAGGAAGGGTGATGACCTTGGAATCATGGGCATCCCGAATATAATGACAGTCCATTTCAATATGTTTGGTGCGTTCATGATACACAGGATTGGCTGCAATTTGAATAACAATAGTGTTGTCACCATGTAGCGGTGTAGGCTGAGATTGAATGAAAACCAGTTCTGCAAGAAGGCTACGTAACCACACAACCTCAGAACATGTAGCGGACATAGCACGGTATTCTGCCTCAGTGGAGGACTTAGAAACACAGGCTTGTTTCTTACATTTTCAAGAAATGAGAGCATTACCCAGAAAGAGACACCAACCAGTAGTAGAGAGTCGAGAATCAGGACAATCTGCCCAATTCGCATCACTATAGGCCGTGAGCGTAAGAGACGACCCCCGAGGGAAGAAGAGTCCATGATAAGCCGTCCCAATAAGATACCGAATAATGGGACGAACAGCTACCAAATGAAGATGACGAGGAGCATCCATAAACTTGCTAACAGTATGAACGACAAAGGAAATATCGAGACGTGTGATGGTGAGATATATGAGACTATCAACTAACTTCCGATAAAGAGTAGGATCTGGAAGAATATCTCCTTCATGTTTCCGATATTTAACATTAAGCTCCAAAGGCGTATCAACCGAAGAGGCTTCAGATAGATGAGCCAACTGAATCACGTCCTGAATATACTTATGTTCATTCAAGAAGATACCGTGCGATGTAGTATGAACCTCTAACCCAAGGAAGTAAGTTGACCAAGATCTTTCATATGAAAAACTAAGTTTAGATGTTGCTGAAGCTTCTGAATAAGATTGTGGTTATAGTCGGAGATAATAATGTCATCCACATGGACCAACAACAAAACAACGCCATCAGTACCCTTGTGAAAGAACAGAGATGCGTCATACTGACTCTGAATAAAAGAGAAATCCAAAAGAGTGTAACGAAACTTGTCACACCAAGCTCGAGGAGCCTACTTAAGACCATACAAAGAGCATTTTAGCTTACATACAGAGTCAGCAGAGGGAAGAGGCATACCAGAAGGAAGTTTCATGTAAATGTCCTCCTGGAGGTCTCTATGTAAAAATGCGTTCTTGACATCCATTTGATGAAGAGACCAAGACTGAGAAGCAGCGATGGATAACAAGAGGCGAACAGTAGTCATTTTGGCCACGATAGCAAATGTCTCATCATAGTCGATTCCGTACTTCTGACGGTTACCCAAGGCAACTAGCCGAGCTTTATAGCGCTCAAGAGAATCACCAGAACGAAGTTTGACAGAATATACCAATTTACTCCCAATGGGTTTCACAGCCCGCTGACATGGTACCAAATTCAAGTTCTGCATTCATTGCTTGTTGCTAACACTCTTGTTCCATAGCCTGTCTATAAGAGGTAGGGATGGAAATCGAGTTAAGGGTAGCAAACATAGAGGTATGGGAAGAGAAACCATACCTATCTGGAGGTCGAGGAACACGAGAGGTACGACGAAGAGTGACAGGATATGGGAGATCACCTGGTGAAGAATCTGATGTCGTAGGTGGAGAATCAGGGAGGCGTAAGGATACAGATGTCCGTAAGAAAGCCCGGGAACAGTGCCTGATGCAACATGCCTGCGAGTGTAAACTAGACCAGGCTTGTAACGAGAGAATTCTGTAGGGAAAGCAGGCAATACAGAGAACACAGGAGGAGAGACGGCAATTTCCGAAGTAAAAACATATTGTTTTTCAAAGAAAACAACATTACGGGAAATCCGAATCCGATGTGCCCTAGGATCATAACAGATATATCCTTTCTGAGTCCCACCATATCCCAGAAAGGCTCACTTGACATATTGAGGTGTAAGTTTTGTCCTTTCATGCGGTGGTAAATGAATAAAATAGACAACCAAAATGACGAAGATGAGAATATGTGGGATGATGACCAAAGAGCTTATAAAATGGAGAAACATTATCAATAGTGGGAGAAGGTAAACGATTTATGAGATAAACAGCGGTAGACAACGCTTCACACCAAAAACGAGAGGGAACAGAAGACTATCAGAAGAGCTCGAACATGTTAAGAAGATGACGATTCTTGCGTTCTGCCACACCATTCTGTTGAGGTGTAGAAGGACAAGATCGCGATAGAAGTGGAAAACTGGTTGTCAATAAAAGCAGTGAAAGACTGAAAAAGGGAAAAAATCTCTCTTTGCACGAAGAAAGTAAACCCATGTAAAGCGACTATAGTCATCAATAAAGATAACAAAATATTTATAATGGGCACGAGGTATTACAAGTGATAAACCCCATACATCACTATGAACAATATCAAAAATACGCGAAGCACGAGAACCATAAGGGAATGGTAAAACTTTGCTCTTAGCAAGTTTACATGAGGCACAATCAAATGAGATAGATAAACCCGAAGCAGAATTTTTATTACCAAGTAAACCAGATTTGAACAAATGGTGTAATACACTAGAATTTGGATGTCCCAATAACTTATGCCAATGAGAAAGATCGAAAGTAGTAGAATTACAAACTATAGGAAAAGATTAAATAAGCTTCGGTGACATGTGAAAGAGACGTTCCTCCTTAGGCCCCTTCATGATCGTCCTCTCGGACACGTGATCCTGCACAAGACAACCAGAAGAAGAAAAAGATACAGTGCAGTCGTTATCAACAAGTTGGCCAACGGATATGAGATTAGTCGATAAATTAGGAGAGAGTAAAACATTAGGTAAATCTGGTAAGACATCACCTACGGCCAAAATAGGAAGAGTGTTGCCATCGGCAGTATGTATATGGAGAGGTCCAGTATATAGTCTAAGGTTACTAAGTAATTGAGAAGTACCTGAGTCCAATAACCAAGAAGGAGCAGTTGATATTTTACGTGAGACACCTAATGCAGGCAAAGCAGAAATAACCATTTGTTGGAT